TTTATTTCCTCCAAGGTCAGGTCAGATATTGAGCCCTGAAGTAGGTAGCTTTCCTGACCAGCACCTGGGATTACTCCATATCTGGTCGGTCCCTGCAGGAGTCTAGTATCTGATTCAGGGCAGTCTTGGAGATGGTTGGGTCCTGGATGTTGGCCCTGTCTTCCTGGTGGGTGGCTTGTTTGTTTGGGTTTTCTTCTGGGAATTACTCTTCCAATGCCCATGAGCCACTTGAATCTGTCATCATTTCCCCAAAGACTGACTCTGACCAGTGCCTGAGTACTGTCAGATTATGGTGCAAGTTTCTCAGTCCACAGGAATTCTGGCTGGGATTCCTTCTCTTCTCTTTAGTTCCTGAGGGGTGTGGAGCAGCAATCTGTTGCCTGAGAAGGCATCTCCCTGCTCCTGTGGAGCTCCAAGGGTTAATTTAACTGTTTAGTTCTCTAGTTGGCAGGGGGAGCCTGCCGAGAGTGGATCCTAAAGTACCTATGTAGTGTCTCCTGCAATAGCCAACTTTATTCAGAGCATCTTGACAGCTTACAGGTGGGTCACTCCCAAGAACCCTCCGTGAGTAAAATATACAACCACAAGGACAAGCCACACAATAGTGACAACTTGTTTTTCCTTAGAGGCATATAAAGAAGTCATAGGCAGTTATAATGAATGATATGAAGTGAACTCAGTCTTATCTGCTGTTCCCAGGAGGGGCAGGAAATCACATTCTAAGAAGAACCATGTTATGGAGGTCAGATTACAAGACTCTCTCTGGTCTTGAAATTTTTCACACAAGTCCCAAATCTCATAGCTTCATTCATGGACCACGTTCTAACACTGACTATTCCCTTAGCTGCAACCTAGTTTCTCTCAAATATTGAGTAATGGGTGCAGCCTTAAGTGTGACATGTCACGGGTCGCAGGATGATGGCTAAGGCTGCCCTAATCATGCTCCCTTCCCCATCAAAAGGATGAACTCTGGAAATAAAGGGAATACAATCTTTAAATGTTGGAAACTTCATACATGTATATGTGTTCTGATAATGTCTTGACTTGTCCTGCTTCTAGCTCCAGGCTTTCCTCAACATGTCCCTCCTAATTTCATCTCCAACAGAACCTCCATGCAGTACCCCATCTTAATTAGTGCTGCTCTTATGTGCAGGAGTTTGTGCCCATTTTCTGGAGTGTGGGCAACCTTACCTGGTGGCCTCAGTTCCAAAGAGAAATGATACTCCATCCATCATCTTTAGTGTCATCTTTAAGTGTTGAATTCTTATACCTTGCCTGATGGTGGTGGTTCAGTCAAAATCCCTGTCTCTAGCTTGTTAGGAGATTTGACTATTTAAAACCATGTTTAAGCCATTTTTTGGAAGAGAATGAATTATATTACTGCTCTTGTGGCAAGAGCTCAACGAGAAATACTGGGTTCATATGCTGATTCCATCAGCCATATCAAACTGAATGAACAAACCCAGATTTAATAAACCAAGCAAAGCAGAATACTTCTTGGTGACTCTCGGGAATGCAGGAAAAGGGGAGAGTTGTGGCTGTTCTAATGATCAGGTGTTAAATACCCTGTTGGTATGGTCTTGATCTGCTCTGAAAGAGTGACCCTTCTGAGGCTTTCTGAGGCGCTGGGTCTGGAATGGGAGGAGTCAACCTGGAAAGGAGATCCCAACACTCCTATTCCTCATTGAGAATCTAAACTAACTAGAATCATGCAGGAATCTCTGTGGGGGAATGGGAGTTCAGAAACGCCTACAACTGCAAATATTTCCCCTGCATCTCTCAATCTTAAGGAAATCTGAGTAAGCTCGAATATGCTCACAGAGAAAAGATCATGAATAAGTCTGAAAGTTAACCAGAATTTCTCCAATAAAGGACAACTTAAACTGTAGGATCGGATAGGGGGAACTATTTCGAGATTAATGTAGCCCCTGGCCAAAGTTTCTTCACTAGATTGTACTTCTTGCCATATCTGGCACAACTCCATGAATGGACCTGTGTAGGGTGGCAAGAGAATGAAGAAAAACCACAAGGCTGAAAGCTGGCGTAGTCTAGAATCTGACAGAGGAGCCATACACAGAGCTGGGACTGAAGCTCAGGGTATATTGTGTACTTATGAGCCAGGGAAGTGAGTTGAGATAATAATCTCCATAGCAGTGGTCTTGTAGAGGAGCAGTCTTCAGTCCTAAATATCCAGAAGACAAAGATACAGCGTACTTTTCCTGCACATGCATTCAATATCCATATGAGGGTCGGCTGACGGCTAACTACCACAGTTGGCAAACCTTGTTTTGAATGACTTGGAGGAACCTAATCATGTGTCCTGCAGCCATAGAGGGAAATTCTCCTGTAGTACCTATGGGCTCTGTTACTGCCCTATGCTTTGAAGCCCCCACCCCTTCTGATGGAGTAATGGAGCTAGGAGCTTCAACATTCAAGTGCCTTATGCTGCACCAGTGAAGTACCCTGAGGCCAGGGGACAATCCTGTTCCATCTGTTTGTTTGCCTACCCTGGTCTATTTTCAAGAAAAACGTGTGTGTGTGTGTGTGTGTGTGTGTGTGTGTGTGTGTGTTTCCCTGTCTTACTCATGCCATGATTTAAGAGCTAGCTCTGGGCACTGGAAGCTTCAGGGCCTTCACTATTACCCTCAGCAGCCCCTGGGAAAGAGGCTCTTGCTAGTTCCATAGGAAAGATTTTAAGATGCACCCCCTCCCCCAAAGACACAAGCATACTAAAGTCCTGTGGCATAGTTTTCCCAATCAGGGTCAAGATGAAAGCACAGTGCTAATTAGACATGTATGGTGTCTGATTACACTGTATTCCTGAGACAAGATTTTTATGTATAACCCTGACTGTCCTGAAACTTGCTGGCTTCAAATTCCTGCTTCTGCCTCCTGAGTTTCTCTGGGATTAAGGAGTGTGCCACCACACCCAGCTTTAACACTATCTTTATACATTGGAGGAAGCAGCAGTTCACGTTTTGGCTGTCCAAGTTCAGAAGCCATTAATGGTCTGCATCTAGTGTTCAATTAGTGTTGTCTTTATGTACAAAGGAACAGATCTAGAGAAGCCCAGTATATAGGAACTGATCTTGTAAAATTCAGTTTTATGTATTCAGCCAGGTTCGGTGTTAGATTAGTAGCACTCGAGTTAAATGTTCTGCTAATTTCTTCCAATTTAGGCTGTGTAAGCCAGCCCTCCTGACTTCTAGATGTGTGATCACATATCTGCTTGTGTAATACTTGGTTTTGGGGACTGGTATGTATGGTCTGGCTGAGATCAAGTGTGGCCACCAGTATTGGGAAACTGCTAGCTCACAAAAACTCCCAGAGTGGACTTACACCCTGACACTGTGCTCTCTTGAAGCTTTCACCTACAGATCTTTCTTGCTGAAAAGATCACGGGTGGGGTCAGTTTTTGAAATGCCACCCCCACTAGCATGCCTGTTAGCTGGTGACACTTGAAATGGGGTCACTTGACAGGCATTATCTTGCAATGTGGTTTCTATTCCCACAGTTTCAAAATTGTACCATTTTCATGAAAAACTGAATCAGTATTAAAAGAAGTTTGCCAGACATCAAACTCATCCCTGGTCTGGTACAGGGCAGTGTCTGTATCATTTATCACACTGCTACTCTCCTGACAGCATTGGTTTAATTACAAATATGGTCAAATACCACCACTTTAACTCATTTTGTCCTATGAGAACCAAGTTTGAGGGCTGCAGGGATGCATCAGTGGTTAAGAACACTTACTGAATAATCATGAGGACCAGAATTCATGTCCTAGCACTCATACAAACCAGGTGTCCCCTGTACGACTATGCCTCCAGCTCCAAGGGAGTCAGTCAGACAGGCTTACTGACTTACAGTCTAGCTGACAGAACATGAGCCCCAGGTTGTGGGAGAGGCTCTGACTCAAAAGCTTCTGGTCTTTATGTGTGTACTTGTAATACACATGCACTTATATTCACACATACAAATAAAGCCTGTGGTTTAAAGAAACAAGACAAAACCCACTTTTCATTGAATTCTCCCATGGAGTCATCTACTCTGAAGCAAATAGTACTTCTGTCAAACTTCTCAGCTCTAATGTCCCTCTAACTTTAAGGATCGGACAAACTGCCATCCTTCAGGTGGTGCCCCACGTTCATCCACTGACTCCTTGACAAGGAAGCATCTGGACTTATCACAGAATATGTTTTTGACCTTGCTGTGTCGTGGTTTGCATTTCAGATAATGTCATTTAATTCTACTGACTTCTTTCTTTTACACATGAATGGCAGGAGCAACATCAAGAACCCGAGAGGAATTTTTTTTTTTTAATATTTATTATGTGTACAATGTTTGGCACCAAATCTCGTTACAGATGGTGAGCCACCATGTGGTTGCTGGGAATTGAACTCGGGACCTTTGGAAGAGCAGGCAGTGCTCTTAACTGCTGAGCCATCTCTCCAGCCCCCATAAGAGGGATATTTTTATGGGGACTACAAACTTGTACCCAAGAGCAGTGCTTTTTGCTTCAAGTTGTTTTGGTTGTACAGGAAGTTTTCTTGAACACCCAGATCTAGTTCTTGGCTTGAGGTATTGAGGCTAATTACAGACAGTAGGGTGAGGAAATATCTAGACAACATCAGGTCCAATGCTCAGCTTAAAATGAAACCTGGGTCCTATGGGGTCAGGTGGGCCATATGGGGTCAGGTGGGCCATATGGGGTCTGGAAGCAAAGATGGGAACAGGAAAAGGAGTCCTGGTTTCTCTAGGGCTACCCTTCCATGTGATGGCCACAGTGTGGGCTTGAAAGGACCCTACCAAGTGCCCCATCCTCCCACATGCATCACCACACAGAGCCAAGTGATCCACAATCAAGAGAAAAGATATTTAATTATTTCTCAGTCTAATCTCTTAAAGCGCTCAGTGTTTTCACAAGTGCAAGGGGAGGGATTGTTCTCAGCCAACATTTACCAGTGATTCCGACACACGCAAAGAAACTGCCAATCACGGTGCTTTATACTTACTTTAATTTCTGCACTGAAAAAGAAAAAAAAAAGGTAAAAACATGACAAGTTACAGTGACATCATCTTGTCCTTAATCTCTGCATTGGGCCCAGGGGAGAAGGAGGGAAAGAGACAGGAAAACATTGAAGCATGGTGATCATGTGACCATAGCCTCAGTCTGGCTATGAAGGGCACTACTCGCCTAGACATGGTACTGTCAGCACGCCAGCTCAGGAACAAGACAGACAACAGTCAAGATACATTAAAAAAAAAAAAACAAAAACAAAACAAACAAAAAAACCCATGATTCCATTCTTAAAATCAAGCACAAAATCTGACAATGAGATCAAGGTTCACATGTCCCCATGGGATCTGGGGATAACTCCAGGGAGACAGCCATGTAACATGACTTACACCATGGAGTAGACACCTGCTCTACCCAGAATGCTGACACAGGGGTCTGCAGAGCAGCTCCTCCTCTCCAGTGCAGCTGCATCTTGCATGGGAAAGGAGAGCCGTGGCCTGCTCCCTACCCAGCTTCCTGATAAGCTGCAAGAGCCACAGGGGCTGGGGTCTGTGCTTTGGAGGCTGCTGCCTCTGGAATGTTCCACGCTCTCACGGTCTGGTGGGCTGTAAGTTTTCAGGTACGCTCCACATGCTGTTTAAGTGCTTGCTTTATTTCTCATGTGCAAACTGTTACTGTCTAAAGCTTTCAGAAGGACGCGTACAGACATAGACTCCCTGTAGAGAGGAGGGTATTCGCAGGCCCTGCTCACTCCCGGGACAGGCGGGAAGGGGAGCGTTACAGAAATAGTTAAGAGAAGGGTGCTCTGAGGCAGTTAAAAATCTAGTCCCTGATTCGGTCCGTGGGGTGAGCGGCGTCCTCAGTAGGTGATTGTCCACTCCTTCACAGAGGCGTCATGGGAAGTGGTGACCAATGTGTGCTCATCCAGCCAGGCCAGGCTGCTGACATGGTGCAGCCGGTGAGCATCTGGGAAAAAGAGTGCAATTTGAGGAAACAGGCTCACCTTGCCTCTCCCTATATTTGAGTAAGAAGAGAACCACAGGGCTATAGTTGTCAGAGAGAACCAGAAACTACCACAGTGGCAGCTTCACTTTCATAAGGACAAATTTGTGAGGACAGAGCTCAGCCTTGCACCAATTCCAGGCGAACCAATAGTACCTCCAGGCTTCTTACTGCCCACGCCAAGTGGCTCCTCTTAAAAGTCCCAACACTTGATGATTCTCCCTTTTCACACACACAGCAACAGAACAGACAAGATAGAACAGACACAAAGCGGTTCCACAGGATCTACATTTACAGACTCAAACAATTAAACAGGGAAAACAGCCAGCTCCACAATGGCTCTGGCTGTGCTCAACAGACAAATCAGTTATTCTCAGATCAACACAGCACGGCCAGTGTTTATATGCCATATACACTTCTAGCCAACTAACTGGTTTGAAGTGTACCGACGTTGTGTCAGTTTATATGCAAATGATGCTATGTATTTCGAACAAAGACCTTGAGGTCTTTGGATTTTGCTGAGGTCCTGTCACTAGTGTCCTATGTAGCACTAAAGTGGAAGAGGTGGGGTATGGACAAGAAAGAGATTGAGGACCTGACTGGTGTCCCCTCCAGAAGTCATACTGGAGCAATGGGACTCAAGCTGTCCTCGCACCTCCATTATTCTTGACTTCAACCATGAGACTGAACCTTTGTGATTCCTTCAGCTCAAACTTCTCATAAAGCTCCAGGGACCTCACAGTTCCAGGAAAGAGGTCCCTGGACAGGATTCCTAGTCCCATGGCCCAGGTAGCTTCTAGTCTAGATCAGCGGCTCCTGGGCCTGAGAACTCCAAAGTTTCAGCACTCAACATGGCAAGGCTCACACATGGTGAGCACCTTGTGTTCAGGAGTCTGTGACCACAGCAGACAGATGCCAACCCATTCTCTGCACCTCTAGGGCAGACACAGTAACTTGCCAATCCATTTCATTTGTGAAATCTCTAGATTTCCTTACAAACCAAAATGGCTCCTTGGAAGCAGCTTCTGGGTTCCTCTTCTTTGTCTGCCTTCCATGAACACTGACACAGCAGGATATAGTGGGCCTCCCTAACTTGCAGCTATTGGAGTGGTCTGAGTACAGCTTTAAGATAGGCTAGGATCCCTGTTCCCATAAACACAGAAGGTTGCCACCTCTGTAACAGGGTAGGTGAAGGGGACAGTATAAAAATGGAATATAGCCGTTTCAGTCAGGACCACCAGCCATATGTGACTCTGGACCCTAGCATGGAGCTACCAGCAGGATCAGTGTGGTAAGATGATGGATAATCAAAATAATGCTTTAAAAATGTCTCCTTTGAAATTATGGCTACTTGGAAAAGCATGGTTCCCATTATCCTTCTGCTGCCGTCACCATGGTGGGACTGAGCTAACTTGGTGGTTGTGGGCTTAGGCATAGGAGCAGGGTGGGGAAGAGAGGTGTCAAAAGCTTTTCCTCATGTAGCTCCTACATATGGAGATCAAGCATTCCTACCATAAGCAATGTCTTAAGATCCCTCTGCAAGGCCAGCAGAGTGCCTGGTGTGTGCTAGAGGAAAGGATGGAGATACATCATCTCCTTCAGGTCACTTAAAGCACAAACCCCAGGGTCACTTGAGCTTAGGGAGCATGGTCAGAGAACTGACCCCTGAGGCCCAGGGATGAGTTACCTTGGATCTTGACTTTGGTCTCTGGGTCACTCACTCAGTGTCCACACGTACAGCATCATGTCCATGCCAGCTGAGGCAAAGTGTTCATTGTCTGGTGACCAAGCCAGGCACACGATTTTTGAACGGTGTCCACAAAAAACATTGTTCTAGTACAGAAAGAAAACAGAGGTGTTTGATTGTAGTGTTGGCCAGGGTACTCTGTGTCCTTCCTCCCAGCCAGCCCTCACAGTAACAGAGAAGCCCTAATGTCCCTGATCACTACCAGCATCCTCCCAATAGCTCCACCAGGTGTCTGACACTCATGGAGATGAAGACATAGCTGAGGAAGTCAAAGCCTAAGAGCACCTGGCTAGAGTCCTCCCATGTGCCTTCAAGTATAGTATATAGGGGTCTGCACCCTACTCACCGAGTAGTCATCAGCCACACTGAACACTGTGACCACCTTGCTGGCATCACACACAGCCAGGAAGGCACCATCATGGGAGTAGGCCAAGTCTGTCACTGGCCCCTTGGCTTCTAGGAGCTTGCCTTCATTCTTTAGCGTGGAGCCCAGGATGGAGTAAACACGCACTTTGCCATCCTGTAGGCAGGGACACAAAGCAGTCGCTCCTTAACATACACACCATGTGCCCTGTCATAGGGGAAGGTCAGGGTTTGCTCTGCCATGGTTCTGGAGGCACCAGTCCCTGCCTGGGGCTCTGGCTGCCAAGAAACAGCTGCTTCCTCCTCACATACTCCTTACTTATTTAATCTCAGCTTCCTCCTCACCTGGGCAGAAATGTCTGGACCCCAAGCCTCCCCAGTCTCACTCTGTGGGCTGGCTGCCAAGGAAGCCCCCTAAATATAGTGCTCATGGCTCCCTGAAAGGTCAACCTGAAGCAAACGGCACAAA